TTGATGTCTATTCTAGCCATTAGATATTGTTTTTAAAGCATGAATGACTTTAACAGGAGATGGTGTCAGTACGTACCACATGCCACTGCCCAATACACCTGAGAGTCCTGGGTCTGGTGCAGGATACGGTATGGGGCAACTCTGGCACTGGAATCCAAAACTACGTCCAATGTTCCCACAAGGAGACCTGGAAAGCAGAGACACAGAAATTAAAGTAATGTGATACAAAGCAAAGAACCGAGTTAAGCAAAAATTCAGCACTGTTATTCCAAGAAAACAAACAAACAAACAGCCCAGTATTACCACACATCCTGTGCATTATAACTACATAATAAACAAGAATCAGCACTGGTACTTGGTCAAGAAAACCAAGACGTAAATCCAGTCACTGCATGGCAATTACCTCTGAACCACCTACAGGCAATCCCACTGTTAATGGCTGACATTTAGATGGCAATTAAATGGCCACCACAGCTCATTACGATCCTCTGCCTTCCTAGGAGAGTTCCATAGCAGAAACAAATTTATTTTTCTCCATGGCATCTGGAGATATTGGAGAGGCAGTTAAAATGGGAGGTCTTCACATTAATATCGTCTGAAAAACACTTCACAGAACAGAGCTTTGTCCCCAGCATGGACAACACTCCATACATCTCTTAGGGACTTTCATCACTGCATTCAAATGACTGCAGGAAGAATGTGAAGCCTCTGGGATCTCCATACTTCTGTTACTTACAGTGATTTTAAGAGACCGAGCTAAATATAAGAGCTTTCAATGCAGTTACCTTTCAGCACCACCTATGCACACAGCATGGAAGATAACACAACCAAAAGGGACTCAACCAGTTCTGGAGAAGCTGTGACACTCCTGCAAGTGCTTCAGTTAAACAAAGAGAGCAGGAAGAGAACCCAAATTTGGTAACTTCTCAAATCGCGTTAAATAAAAGCAGGCACTCTCAGAACAAAATGCTGACCGCCGTTAGCACCTGTAAGCAAATCCATTCATTTCAATTGCCTGTTTGTTAGTTAGATCAAATATTTAAGATGAACATCCACGCGGAGCTGGGCAATCCTTGAAGCAAATATGGATGCACCCAGCTCGGCAGGATCTCAGCTCTGGATCTCGGCAGGATCTCAGCTCTGGATCTCAGGCTTCTTCTGTGTGGCTGTAGGTAGCAGGAATAAGGGCTCATTCCGCATACTGCCCGTAACAGCGATGTGCCACACACTGACATACAAGGCCAAGCTCGTGAACCCGAGCACAACGCAACGAACGGAGCGGAGAGCTGCCAACAGCAGCAGGGCTCACTCCTCCTGCCATAAAACCCGGGCAATTCCAGCACCCATCTACTGGTGCATCTCTGGGGGAGGGGAGACGGAAATCCAGCCGCTCGGTGATCCGAGCCGCCCGCAGGCGCGGCCGGTCCCGGCGCAGAGGCCGCCCGCTGGAAGGCGCGTGGCGCGGTCAGGCCGGGTCCCGCATCCCCCATTCCGCCCGCCGGCGCCCCTTCCCCGCAGCCCCGTCCCCACCCGGCTCACCTGTCAGGCCGCCCCCTTTGCCGTGTCCCCGCCGGCGCTGGAGCAAGAAGAAGGGGTTTGCCCGCTCCGTCACCCACAGCGCGCCAGCCAGCAGCACCTCCTCGGGCCCCAGCCACATCGCGGCGGGCCCCGGGGCCGACCCAGAGGTTCGGCCCGACTCGGCTCGGCCCAGCCGCACGGCGGAGGGCGGCGCAGGGGAAGCCGCCGGGCCGCGGCGCGCCGCAGGGTCACGGCGCCCACAGCGACCCCTGGCGGCCCGGCGCCCTCACGGCAGCGGGGCGGCGCCGTGCTGCCGCTGTGGCGCCACGGGCAGGGCCGCGACTCCGCAGAGAGGAGGTGGCGAGTTCGAGTCCCTCTCGCGGAGTCTCTGCGTTGTGATTCTCATTAAACCCTGGGATGATTTGTCTTCTGTGCTGAGGCAGTGCTCTAATTCCGGTTGGAGCTTTTTGTGCACCGCTGTAATACAAATAGGTACGGGCTGGCCGAGCTGTAAGGCCCTACCCTCATCGTGGTTGCTGGGAAGGAAGCCATGCACTGTGTGGGCTGCAGCAGGTGGAAAGCAGGGAACTGAGGAAAGCTTCTGCTTGCTGTGTCATCTTTTAGGTGGCCAACGCCTTGGGAACAACACACTGTTGTTTCCTATGTATTAATGGACCACAGCCTGAGACTTCCAGGCACTGATTACAGCAAAATAAAGCAATGTTTTCCATGCAGTAGGGAAAAAAAAAAAAGCTCTGGAAAGGGACCTTTTAACAGTGCGCCACAGAGCCTGCAGAGCACAGCTCAGCCTCCTGCAGTTAAAGACACCAAGCTCACAAAACATGCTCTTTTAAATTGCTTTTTATTGAAATGTAGTACATTAGCAAACCCTAATAGGTATACACTATTAACATATTGGCATATACCACGTAACTACCATACAGTGTTATACTTACATCGAAATAGGTCAGGGAGTTCCAAGTGAGCCTCCCGAGGGCCGGAGCGACGCGCCGAGCGCTCACCCTGCAGCGACCAGCCCAGCATGCTGTTTTTTTGCACACACACCAATGGTGTTTGTAGTTTTGTTCCCCATTTGCTGCTATGCCCCAAGTCCCAAAGGCAGCCCTGGATTTCTCTGCCCCATTCTGGTGGATGCAGTGCATAGATGGAGCTGTGGCCACAAAAAGGTGCTGCTGGGGAGGGCTGTGCCTTTGGGCTGTGAAATCCCCCCTCCACCCCAGTTACACCTCAGCTTTGCAGTGAAATCACTCTCAACAGCTCTAACTTTTAACAAAACCCTACGCACTCCTTGCTTTGCAGGAATATTAACGCTTAGTTATTAAGCTTTGGGGGGCTATTTAAGGGCAACACTTTATGCCAAGGGTCCCCCAACACCTCGAGACCGCAGGTATTACTGTACAAAGAACAAACAGGCAGCCCTCAGCACACAGCACTCAGCTCCATGCTGGTTGTGCCAAACATGCCGCTGAGCAGCAGCCCCCACCCCATGCAGCCCCCCCTGCCCGTTCTGGGGGTGAGTCCAACAAGTGCAGGCATCACACTTTCTTTGATTATTTCCAAGGTACTTCCAAGCAGCTTTCTCCTGATTTTCCCCCAGTGCAGGTAGCTGGAGCATCTCTCAGCCCTCCCCTGCTCTGCCCTTACAGCAGAAAAAAGGAAAAGGAGCGATGAGATTTTTAAATATAACAACACATAAGCAAGCTGTCACAGCACGGCACACGCTCTTCTCCATGGCTAAGGCTGCAAAATGAGGCCACGCACGGATGTGCAGGAGGGGGGATAAGGAGCAGAGCACTGCCTGCCAGCCTTGGAGTGATGGGGACCTCGGGGCTGGGAGCAGCACGGCAGCCCCACCTTTGAGCCGTGCAACTTCCCTTGTTGTAAAACCAGATGATTATTAGCAGAGCAAAAACATAGATGTGTTTTAACAGTTTAGTCAATGCGCCCTCCAGGAAGCACAGCCCTGTAAGTCAGCTCAGCCCTGCTGCCCCATCCTTCGTATCCAAACAAAACAGATGTGCAGAAATCCCATAGGAGACTACTAAACACATGTATTTAACTACTTGTCTTTCTTTGGCTTATGTAGGATATCTGGCTATTCCTAAATCGCCCTCACATGCCAAGGCAAGCATCCTAGAAGCAATGGGGCAGTGCAAACAGGCACCAACAAGTGAGCTTACATAGGGAGCACTCATGAGTGGCATTAAGTAAATTTTAACATGCTTCAAATGTAATATTTCATGTTAGTACTATAGGTAAAAAGCACACTTACAGTCTGTTTTTCACTGGCAGTTATCCTCTATGAACACAAACAAACCTCAATTTTACAAATGTCTTATGGGAACATGCAGAACTTTCAAAAACAGGAGACGTGGAAAAGGGAAAGGGATGGTGGAGCAGCGCGTTTAGATCGCTTAGAGAAACATAAAAGGGCTCTTTTTTTTTTTGTAGGTAGAATTCATAAAATTGATGCTTTGATAAAAAAAAACACTTTTGTTTTTGAAACGTAGAAAATCAATTCCCAAGATACTGACACCACAGCTCCGGGTAGACTGCCATCTACCTTACATCTATGAAATGACCACACACAGCACCACCACAGCAGGACAAGAACAACGATGCTCATCAAGCATTTTTTTTTTTAAATATACTGATTAATATGAAAAGGAACATCTCAAACTTACCAGCACAGCCCAGAAAAATCACCCATGCTGCTGTGCTGCCTCTTTCCCATCCTAACTACAATACAGTACACAAGTGCCTGGCATGGCACGTCCCAGCACGCACGTAGGGATCGGTTGCTTCAACCAGACTTAATGTTTCCAGTGTTGCAAGACCTTCCAAACCCACAACGTCCATTGCACAACCGTCAGCCCCAGCTGCCTCTCAGAGAAACACTAAGGCTGGAAAAGATCAGCTAGTCAACCCAAAGGTGGGACCTCTCCTTACCACGTTAGACCCCAGTCAGCACCATCGGAGACAGCTCTTGTTCCCCGCTCCTCTGAAAAGGTAGTTTAGAAGTAGGGAGATTTAACCAAATACAAATGGCATTATTTATTCATTTGCCATTTAGGGCTCTGTAGTCGCTAATGCTCGTTTTAATTTCCATCTGCTTTTGAGCTGTCCTCCTCTACTCTGGCACAAAGCTGACTGCTTTGTTCAAAACAAACCCAACCCTGCACTGAGGAAGCCAAGCACAACAGGAAGCAGTGCGGGGAACTTCCTGACGCAGCCCCAGCGCCGGAGGTGACGGAGCCGTGCCCAGGCACAGGGCAGTGCCCAGGGGTGCCCAGCACACAGCACGTCCTGAGCGGCCAGCAGGGCTCCCACAGCCCGCTCTGCACGCTGCCTTGCTGGTGTTAATGCCAGAACTGTGGCCACTCTGCTCTGTGGCACAAGGCACCTCTTGAGCGCTTCTGCGTAGGCAAAATGTACCACGGTGAGCATCCCATCCCATCCCATCCCATCCTAGCAGCTCCAGCAGGAGCCACAATGCCTCACTCTGTTTAACTACAAACACCCGAGCACAGCTTTTTGCAACCCGACTACTCAACACTGACAAAAACAAGCCCTAAGACACCCTGGAGCAATGGTGTTTTACTTCCGGATGTGTCTGTTTGGAAGCGCCCTGCCCACTGCCTGGAAGATGTGATGATGAAGTCAGGGTTGCTCAACCTGCACCCCATCCCCGTGCACACAGCTGCCACGTGGAGCAGCAAAGCAATGCCTGCAGCCAAACAACCCACTCCGTCCCAGCAAAGGGGCTCCACATCCTCACCACTTGGTTGGGGAAGGTGGCATTGAAGTTGTGCTCTTGAAAAGCCTGGGGTGTAAGCAGGCCTCTAAAGTTGGCTGGATTGCAATAAAAGTGCATAGGGTAAATGGAAATGGTATTACGAGAAAACTCTCTCTAACCTTCACACCACCCATCCTTGAATTACCAGGTTAAATGAAGCTGACACACAGCAACAGAGCATACTCTGTGAATAGGATCGTTTCCTCATTTTGCAGAGCTGGGTTTTTCTTTTTGTCTTAAATGTCTGTGTTAAAGACACAGCTGAGCCACGCTTCAGGTAAGGATGCACGTCAGCAGACCACTGTACAGTCAAAATTAAAAAACGAGCAGGGGAACTTTTGTAGCAAAATCTGACAAAATTAAAGCATGGCAGGAAATGCCTTACCTACCTTTCTTTTAGACTTACAGATTTCTCAGTTTCCTATACAGAGCAAAGCTGTGTTTCACCTTACAAGGACACAAACGCATTTCTACATCTACAGTAACTGAGACTGCAATGGAGAAAATGTTAATGTTCAAACAGCTCTGCATTGTCCAGGAGGAAACAGAGCAGGAGTCCTCACTCTCCACGTCTGCTCATGTGAGGAGCTCTATGGATGGCTGAACTCAGCTTTCCATCTCCATGCTATACATTCAGAAGCTTGAAACCAATCTCTATTTCCCCACTGCTTCTGGCATGCTCCAGTAAAAATGGATTTTTCATGCTGAGTCCCAAAGCAGTCACTGCTTTCCTTTATTCCTCTGCTTTCTGCATTCACGTATTGATGTCAGTGGGAAAGGGCATGGCCTGGAGAACGTGTTTGTTGGTTAACCGTTGCAGATCTCAACGTGAGAACAGGATAAGAAGCTTACCTCTCTTCTTTTCTCTGTGTAACGCCAACATGCTGGCTTTTAAAAAACCTCAGTGAAAAATTTGGTGGATTTTTTTAAACCCCTCCGAAAAGAAAAGTAAAGCAAGAAAGAAAGCTAATTAGATTCCTGCATATTTCAAAAAGTCTAATGGTTTTAAGGTAGATCAAGTGCTGGTTCGGTGAACGTCCTCTCTGTAGAAAGAGACTCACGTGACTGGAGCACACGGAAGGACCAAAAATGTATTCTGTGGAGGCCACTTTTCTCCTGCTTCAGTAGAAATGGAGAAAAAAAAAACACAAACGGAAGCATCAAGTTCCTTGAAATCTTTCTGCAAACACAGGGCCTCTCTGCTGCGTAACGTCAGACCGGCGTGCTGCCGCCCAGGGGTGAGCAGGTCGTTGGAAACTCAACGCACTTGGAAGGTCCCTCTTGGAAGGGGATATTTCACAGTAAGGTTATGGGTTGACCAAGCTATACGGAGTGCTTTTACCAGTCACCGGCCAGCTCCTTTGAACTAGTTCCCTTTCTGACTCTGCCCAACAATTTGGACCATTAAAACCAGCATACCCCTGTTGAGGAGACGCATTTGCAGTACAAAACAAACTCTTAGGACCACCGCAAAGCCTCTTCCGCACCACCGAGGCCGGGCCCACACAGCTCCCATGCTGTTACTCAGCAACTTCCATCAGACAACCTTGCTTGCGCTCGGAGGTGCCACCCGCAGAAACCACCACAGCTGTCTTCATCTCCGTGACCTAGAAGGCAGGCTCGTGTTCTGGAAAAAGCAGCTCTTCTTCAGACAAAGGAGATCCATGGAAAGAGTACACAACAATAGGAATGAGAAATGAAAACAACAGAAAGAGGGCCAGGAAGGAATGTGCATTCCTTTCAGGTTTTGTTCTCGTCATACATGTCCAAAGCAGGCTCGATGGTGGAGAATTCGCTCTCGTAGACCAGACTTCGAGGGGACAGAGAATTGCGATGAAAGAAGTGACTGCCTACAAGAGGGAGAACAAAACCTGGTTAGGGACACACGTAAGAACCAAGCAAAGCATCCTTGAGTGTGAGTTCTGACTGCAAACATGGAATGTGTATAGACAACACAAACCCTTCTCAACACAAACCAACAGCTGTGTAGGGTGGACAGCAAAGGAGAGATCACAGCCTGCGAGTTCTCACCATGCAGGAAAATTAGCATTGACATTGGTACCACCAGTCACTGAGGTGCACCAAACTCTGCTGGCAAGATCAGGCCCACTGCTGCCTCCTGTCACATCCCTGCTCTGGGTGACAGGAATCAGCTGCCAAAGACCCGGATGAAGCCACACATTGCCTTATTCCATAGATTAAACACGTTCCATCCGCCGTGCAATGCTGAAGGCCTGGCCCTGGGGCTGGAGGTCCTACAAGCCCACTGGGCCTGGTGCTGAGGCGCACCTCACCTTTGTCCAGGTATCTTTGCAACACGAAGCTGACATTTCAGACCCCCACCCAACAAATCTGGAGGTGCTGCAGGGCTTTGCCTCCATCCACGTGCTGCTTCCAAGCACTGCTTTTCATATGCATGAGCAACCCTGCTGCCAGCAGTGCTCCCAGATAACACAGGTCAAGTCTGAGCAAGGCTGGGGCAAGCCTGAGTTTTGCACTGCGCCTTGCTTTTGGTTTACAGCTTCACAGAACCAGAAACCTTTGCTAGGTGCCCTGTGTCCTGCGCTGTGCATGGCGGCAATCTTATGGAAAGAGACACCAACACATTTTCTTACAAAGAACCATGAAGACCCAGCCCTCTTCTCCAAATGCTGGCAACAGTGGCAATACTTGAAGCCAGCACACATCGTTGCTGACAGAAGCTGGCTCTTCAAGCCCACAGATGTATTTTGCGAGGAGCCAGCCCTGCTGGTGTACACAAGGTTCCCTCTGGAAACATCTATCAGATCAGGCCCTCGGCCAAGATATGAAATTACCTGGTTTCTCGATCCCAGCAGGGATTAGCTGGGAGCAAGGCTGCTTAGATTACAATACACCCAGCACCCACGTGAGCCAAACTCAAGGTAACTGAAGAGCTTCCAAGATCATCAAGGAGGCACTCGGCAAACTGAGATGCCTCCATCTCCAGGCATCAGTGAAGCAAGAAGCTTAGGGGATTGCAGATTCTGTTCTGGCAGAAATCAAGTGCTTAACTCCTCCTTTCTCTGCCAAATTCTGGGTCCAGCCCATGCCATTCTACAATAAAGAGCCTACAATAAAGAGCAATATTCAGATACCGCTGTTCTCAACAGCTCTTCCTTCTTTCCCACTCACCGTAAAGAAGACAAAGTCATTACTCCACCATTCTCACTCAGAATCAAAACTCTCAGAAGTAAATTAACTCATTTTTGATCACACAGTTTACTGAAACAAGCGCTCACATTGCATAAGGGCACACGTGCAGGTGTTTGTAAGAAGTGTGCGCATACTTTGCAGAAGTGCACACCGGGGCATCACCAAAACCCACCTTTTAGATCTGAAACGTGTCCCAGAAGTTAAAGGTTTCAATTGGACGGTGCTTAAATAGAAAAAAAATCAAAAGTGTTCTTTGTTTTGGCTTTTTTAATGAAACAATGACCTCCAGATGGTTCGGTCTCTTCAAAACAAACAAACAACAAGCCAACCTGCTGTGGAATTGCAGCAGATAAAACTGATTTTGAGATTCTTCTGCTCTGTGTCACAGGTAAGGATCATCTGATTTGTGATGGCCGGGTCTCTGCTCGCTGTTGAAATAAACCCTGGGTATTGCTTGTTTCATTCCCCCTTTTCTCCACCCGCTGAAACCTTACACACTGAACAGCCAACGCTGAAGCAAAACAAAAGGGGTTCTGAAAGCTGGGCGCTGCTTTTGTTTTCACTACACAGAAATCAAACAACGGATTAGGAAGCAGGCGGCCGCGCAGCCATTTCCTCTGCATGGGGACACTTCCACTCCAACTGCTTCACGGGTGAGCTTTCACCAACAGGCAGGCAGGACATCTGACAACTGAAAAATTCATCTGAAAAGGGCACGTCCAACACCTCTGAAATCCCTTACTGTGATGTTTTCTTGCTTCTTGGCAACAGAATTGTAACCCACCCACTTCCAGGAGGCTGCACACAGACCCAGACTACTCTGCTTTCATACCACATATGGGACACATCATTCAGCCTTTCTCCAAATGCGTCTCTCCCCATTATTTTTTGTTCCATGTAATTTTTTCACCATTACTCCTTTCACCAGGATTACGGGCATGCTCGACCACACCTCTAAACCCTTTAAAGAAAAAAGAAAGCATGTAATCTACCTACCTGTAGATGAAAGACATTGAAACAGAACATCTCTCTGCTCAGTTGGCTAAATCAGATCTATTTTTCTTACTGCTTAAGTCAGATTGTGACCAGCTCCCCCAGACCTCACCAGCTACATGTGGCCAAACCACTACACACAGGGCTGTGTTCTCATACAATGCTTCTTGACCTCCACAAGGAGGGCAGCACGGGCAGGATATCAGAGCACATTACAGCTACCATCAGCCTGCCCTGTGCTCAAATTCCAGCTGCGGTTCAGTGCTTTTCAACGCGTAGATCTGTGCTCTAAATAACCAGATCGGTATCATCACCCACATTTTACAGAGAGGGAAGCGGAGTCAGCAGGGCAAAGCGACCCAACTACGCTCTTCTTGCAACCAAAGACAGGCTCAGGAGGCTCAGGGTGCACTGCGTACTGCCAGCACTGCTGCCCCTCTCCACTGCCTGCTTGGAAGAGCCCAGCAGCTCAGGCCAGCCTGTTTGCTAGCTGGGGGATGCTTCAAGGAACCACTGGCACCCTTCCCAGTGTTCAAACACATGGCATTAGTCTAGTTGGGTTTACTAGATAAATGTATATTTTAAGGTCAGGTAGAAACATCCACAGCTCCAAAATTCAGCTTCTGAACCCGCTCTCCCATTGTGCGCTTACGAGACATTAAGGTTTATCCCTCAGGTATGGAGAAAGCAAACAGGAAGCCTGGGATCAGTTTTAATGTACTGAAAATGAACTTCTCAGTGTTCTCTGCCACTATTCCTCATTATATCGTTTGGATGAACTTTCCAGATAACTAAGTTTGAAAACAAGCCCACTAGAGCCTGGAATTTTTCCCATCCTAAGACACTACAGAAGCAGGCACAGTTCAAAGGCCAACAATCACAGACAGCACTGTGGGTGCATTAGTAGGAAGCATCAGCTGCTGTTACCTTCCTGTTCTGAAACACTCAGACACCCTCAGGATGGATAATCAGGGCCACCCACCAGCAAAAGCTGCGGTCCCTCCGCAGACACAACTCCTCCGTGCAGAATTACGACCAGAGCACTCCATCCCAAACAGTTCAAGACTCTTGGTTAAGGACAAACTCACCAATCACGCCGCTGGTGTCAAGAAACAAGTGAAAAAAATACAGCTCTTATTTCACAGCCTGTACCCTGTATCATGCTCTGCCCTCCTTCCTGCATGCTTTGGCAACAAGCTCAGGTGACAGAACGCTGCATTTTTCAAGGAGACAGTCTGCAGACACTGCATGGCTGAGGTTTCTCTGTTCATCCGTGACTATGACGGGGTTTTCCACTCTTTCAAAAGATGCTTATTGCTCTACTGTCTTCACGTTTCTTCCAAACTTTCACAAGGACACAATGAAAAATAATTCTATTAAATGTACTGAAGCTATCACATACTTCATTTTCAATTATAAAAGCTGCCTTCTCAGCTGAAACCTGCTGGACAAATGAGAATTAAGCAACTAGTTTAATGTATATTCTGGCTGTGTTCCTAAATCCTAAAAGCACCGATACATAAAAATAAAATTAAATTCCCTATTTCCCAGTGCATAAAAAAATTAAATTTTACAGTAAAATTTGTTCTCTCCGTTATTTAATTAAATTAGAAAGTACTGCGTTTCATAAGTCTGCATCTTTATACCAGAAAAACAAACAAAACTCTGATCAGGTTTTAACTCTGTCAGTGATGTTTTCCTCACCCATCTCTTACCTCCCCCCCATCTCAATAACCCCAACACCAGCACTTGGCTGAGCGGCAGACCTGCATGCTTTAACTGAACGTTGGGAAATTACTCATACACCACTTGCATAAGTGAACTTGTGTGAAACAGCCTGAATGAGGACAGCAGACAAGAGATGTTTTCCCCACCAGTTAGAAGACATGGCAAGAAGGCACAGGTTTGCAGTTTCCATCTTACAGCAAAGACCATTATCAGTGCTTCATGCCCTAAACTGATCAGCAGTTAACCCTGCAGCAGTATGAAAGGCTTCAAAGACATCAGGGGAAGAAACGTTACTTTTTCACTTGGTATCGGGAAGGAAGAAGTGGTTTAGATCAGCTTCACTTTTAGCAGAAAAAGGGTGGGGTGAAAGCAGCAGACAGAAAAGGTTTATGATGTGGTTGTCACAAAAACTCTATTGCCAACCTCAGGCAGCAACGGAAGACAGAAATGGTAACAGCAATCCTCCCAGAGTGGGACAGGAAAGATTCTGGAGAAAAATGTTATTTCACATCAAGTTTCAGCTGAAGTCAAGGTAAGCCCATCACACACCACAATTCCTCTTCCCTCCTACCGAGCTGGCACTGAGCAATTGCCAGCTACACCACTTGGTCATTCCAGTGCTGGGTGGCATCGTAGGAATGACACTGCATGAGATTTCCACTTATTAGCATGGGTGGCCCGAAAGGAAGAGAGATTACAGATCTGCAGAGATGAAATCATTCAAAAGAAACAAAACAGAATTTGCAAGAGTCTGTCAAACAATGCTAACACAATGGCCGTGACAAATGAAACTCACAGAGCAAGATTTCGTAATTAAAGTTCATTTATTTCTTCACTTTTTTTCCTTAATACAAAGCTCTGGCATCAGCAAATTTTTATGAAAAAATAGGATGTACTAAATAAACGCTTGTGCTGCACGATCGATAAATGAAGCATAAAAATAGGTGTCTCTCCCCAAGGCAATCATCCGGAAAGCACTTCTTCAATACCATTCTGCTCTGTGGGGCACAAAAAAAGGTACAGAATATTTATGTTACAGTTAGCACTGTCAATACTCAAAAAATAAAACCCTGCAAGAGGAAGTTAGAGAGAAATGGCTAATTGCACAGCGCTGGAGCATTGAAAAGGCTCACTCCTGCACCTTGCAATGCTTGCCCTTCCCATAAAAAGAGCCAATCAAGCAGTAGGCAACAAAAGGAGTTGCAACAGAAAGTAGAAATGCAACTCCCACGAGTAGCCACATCTGGTGGATACAACAGACTACGATTCCTTTGTCTTCCTCCTAGCGATGTGGAAATACCAGGGACACAGATATTCCTGTTCCACATGCACACAGCTTATCTTCCTCCATGCTTTCCCAAGCTGCTCTGGGGTGCAGATTAGCAACATTCAGCTACAGCTATGGTGCCAGCTTGCACACAGTTGGTTGCAACCTCAAGAATTTGACATGTGGAAAAAAAAAAACAAAAAAAAAACCAGCCAGAATATTTCAATAGGCTGTTTGAAGATCTAAAACTTTTCCCCATTAAGCTTTTTTGGAATTAGATTCTCCAAAGAAGAGAAAGAGTCACAAATTGGCAGAATGTGAAAAACTCTGATAACCTCAAAGAAGTTGCACTACTTTCCTAAAGATTAGCTTGAGACTGTCCAAAAATCCTACACTGGAGGCCACCAGACATCTTCCCATCCTGCTGAGAAGGGAACCTTAACACTTTTGTGGCTCTCTGGAAAGTATTTGTATTTTTTTCCTCTCATCTCAAAACCAAGAAACTGGAATTATCTTTACAAAGCCATACTTCCATACTGCACAGGGCAGCCTGCCTTCCAATATATCTCTGCATCTAGATCACAAGTCCAGATGTTCTGTACACCTCAAACAAGAACAGCCAGCTCTACCTAGCTAATGCATCTGCAGAACACATTTATACTTGCCCACACACAGAACTATGAAGGAAGACTGGAAATCACATGATAATCATTTCTGGCCCAGCCTGTCTGAAGGGAAGCAGCAATGAGCCCATAAAAATTAAGAACGAACTGGTGTCTGTAAGCACTTGAGTGAGTGCAACTCTTAAGCATTTAAAATGAGAGGTCAGAAAACAGGTCAGCTCTACCCACACAAGATGCAAGAAATGGTTGCGAATCATTGCTTACATGATTCTCTCCTAAAAGTTATAAAATCATCTAAATATCTTTTTTCTCAGCTGGAAGTGAGCTCACTGGGGGGAAAAAAAAAAGACTTATTTCATTTATTTCTTTTTAAAATATCAAATGACTCAGAAATTGAGGTGGGAACTGTCAGAGGTAACGGATGGCAGCAATTCCTGGTTCTGCTGGGTGAATTTTGAACACGGGGATTTAATGACAAACCCAACACTTCCCCAGACCACTGATTAAAAAAACCCAACACAACAGATCTACACATTCTCTCTTTTCACCCTCCCTCGTCTGTACCTTGTGAGATTCCCTCAGACCATTCAGCTAACTATATATTAAGGAGGAGTTCAAATGTTACCCTGGAACCTACTGCTGGAGGCTTACATTTGAGAAAGGCAGAAAAGGCATTTGTCATTTTGATAAGTGCATATATATATGTATATACACACATAATTCCTTGTTTTGTTCTCATGGTATTCCTTCCCAACGTTGCCTGTGACACACACCCACCACAAACGTATAGAAACAGCCAAATGTTTACTTACTCATTAGCATTCAAGCTAGCTGTGGCTTTGATGATCATGTAGCAGAGTGTAAGGGCACTGAGGAGGCCAAAACTGGCAATAATAAACCATTCTTCTGTTGACAAAGGAAAGGGAGGAAATCACTCGTGGGAGAAGGCTTATGTCAAAGCGATGCCAACATTCCCCTCAAACACCACTGGCGGAAGGCAAAGGGCTTCTAAGCCACGAGTGGCACCAGGAAGCGAAGCAGAAGGAGGTTAGCCACAGAGCTACTGACGGGAGAAGGCTAGCAAAGAAGAAGTGGAGAGAGGTGTGGAAAACAAGCATGGCACAACAACATCTCCTGGCTGAGCCCCAGGATTGGCGATAAAGAAAGATTACTTTACAGTGTGAAGGGAAGTGTGGGAACGAGGGAAAATGTAAGGAAATCTCAGTCCACCCCCAGGTCAGGAGGTGGACTGTTATGGTTGGTTGGGGTTTGCTGAGATGTGTCTCTTCACATAAGCATTTACTTTCACACTTCACTTGTGTCTTCACCCCCTCCCTCCTCAATAAATGCCACGTTACTTTTAAAATAAATAAGATAAGATCACTTATTTGACAGTAAAACAACTACAGTTTTCCACATAATAGACAGAAAGACAACAGGAAATATAATTTCAAGGTTAGTAGGTAAGTACAGACATTAAGAACATAAAGATGACTATTAAAGAATGTTCTCTACTCAAAGTTCTCCCCTGGAGATGAATTTAGCACATAGTAATACAGTGAAACACAAACACCTTTGTGAATATGGCTTTTGGTTTAACTCATACGCATAAAAAAATGTGTCATCCACGAAATCTAAACATTTCAACAGCCTTTTCTAAAGCTTTATTTGATAAACACTGTCAGCATGAGCTCTTGCTGACATTTCTCATTTTACCCTGGCATCCCATCTGTCAAGGTAAGTGCTATGGTTGGGAATAGAGAGCAAAAGCACCTTCTGTAAAACCAAGCAGTTGAAATTGCAGTTAACTGCAGAGTTTTCCCATCCATGACAACAAAAAGAGCATACAAACAGCCTTGGTGTCTGTTCAAACTGTTCAACACAACTGAAAACACATGAATGACAAGTTGAACACTGCAGGTCAAAGTGACATACTGGTTTGGGAAAGAACCTAGATTACACGTTCGGATTTTTCCTTCTCAGATGGAGACATTTCTAGTCCTGGGCTCTGTGTTCTGTGAGATGAGGTTCCTTTAGCAACATTTACTTTGCTCAAGTGTCTGAAGAGACACTCCGTAACGGACTGCATCAGTTACACCGCTTTCACTAGCAGCAGATAGCAGCACTGGCTTCAAATCCAGATTTTAGATGCACATAAGGGAAGTACAAGGAGTAAACCAGACTGAATGAATTCTATTTCTGCAGTTCAGACAGAAGAGCAACCATTCGTGTATCAAATCAAGATTCCATTGCATACAGAAAAATGATATAATTCCACATAATGTATTTGTTACAGAGCCATTATATAATAAAACTCCAGGTAAAATCCAGCCAGTGCATATTTCCCATGCTGTAAGCCCTCACCCATAGGAACAAGTACAGCAGGAATAGTATCCTGAGGTCATATGACACTTGGACAATACTCAAATGTTGATATGTCAAAACCAGGTTTTTTTAATACAAAAACTTTGTGAGAAAAGCCATCTGCTAAGGGACACCAGAATTCCGGCAGTAATGCTGTCAGGAGGAAAAAAAAAAGACTGCAGAAGTAATAATTGGCTAAGATGTTTACACACGTATAAATTATTGGATGTATTTTGGAAATGGTTTTGGCAATCCAGCTTACACTGATCACCGAATTCAGGAGGGCTGTTCTGCTGCCATTTTAGTTCACCCTTTGTTCTTTGTATGCATTTCTAAATGGATACACGATTAATAATGGAAGTGCTGGCACTGCTGCAGGCAGCTTTTGGTTTGGAGTGCCCAGGGACACCGAGCTCACCTCTGTTTCTGCAGGAAGACCTTTTATCACAGCCCTGCAGCACAGAGGAGAGCAGAGCAAGAGCCCCGTCCCAGGAAAGCCATAGAACTGTAACGGAAGCCAAAGCAAACTTACTTGTTACAGCAATGTTGATCTCTCCCGACCTCGGAGTGAGCTCCCCATCCTGGGGAAGCTGTGACATGCCGGAGGTGCGCAGCGGCTCCAGGCTCAGGGAGCTGTCGTTGGCGAAGTCGCCGAGCGCTGAGCGCCTGCTGGCAGGCTGGCTTCTGCTGAGCCTCTCCATGTCAAAGGCCACGTTATCTGTGCACGGCACATTGGGCTGAAAGACACAGCGATCCCACGTTACAGGGAGGAATACTGTACATGGAATGATCCCGTAAGGATAAGCGCACAAACGCTTCATTTTGCTGCTGCAGCTCAGCTGCCTTTGGATCACAGGGTAGAAACGTGAACGAATGAGCTCTTCCCTTTTTCTTTTACTTCTTTCCTCGAAAAAACACTGCTCCTACCTGACAGTTTTTTACTTATACGGGAAAAACACGAAAAATCCTCTTTGAGCTTTTTTAAGTCTATTCCCTTGCGAATCAGTCAACAAAAGCAGTACTCTGAGATTCTATGTGCCAAGGGCTGGTTAATGCACAGCCAAGGAAAGGCTGCTGGCCTCGGCCATGGCGCTCTGCAGCTCTGGGCATGGATTTAACGTGCCAACAGATCTGAGAGCATCTACAGGAGAGCACAGTAAGAACAAGAGCTTAGAGAGAAAACAAAGGAAGACTGAAAGAACTTGAGAAAAGGGAAGACTACAGAGAACGCAGTAGATTTACGACAGATTAAGAATCTAAATTCTAAATAGGAACACTATAGAATATTCTTAATAATCATCTAGGGGAAGAAACAACCACTAAAAATGAACTTTATCAGCAGCACAAAAAGCCTGGTAACTAATGGCAACACAGCCCCACACCCTTCTGACTCAGAGCACTGGAACATCCTTCATCTTTTCTGCCCTGAAGACATTCCTTCTGCTCTGAGTCTCAGAGATGGAAGGGAGAAGAGCTTGTTCAGTCCAACTTACCACAATTCCCAGGGCCTTCAAAATGTTCAGTTTACACATTGGACACGTACAGTGCTCACTGAGCCACGGGTCCACGCAGGCTTTGTGAAAAACATGCCTAGGAGAACAGACAAGGCACATATATAACTTGCAAACCATTATACTACGTCATGAGAACTACTTTAATGCACTTCTAAATTGTTTCTTCAAGTCAGCAGGACAAATTCTGGAATTACCAGCAAGTTGTGCTAACTGCATTAAAAAAAAAAGAAATAAAAACGTGAAGCTCTTGCTACCAGTTACAATCTCCATTTCCAAGCAGAACCTGGTGCTGAATCAGGAAGGAGGACTGCAGATCCACCAGAAGTCAGTTTCATTTAAAAGCCAACACTAAAGTACTTAGGTTTGATGCTGTAAGTGCTTTATAATTAGCACATCTAAGTGAAGAGAACAAGGTTTTGAAAGGCTTCTGCCTACAATTAGCATTGCTTGATATCTGTAAGGAAATTAGCAAGGAAAACATGCCCATCATACCACGGTCACAGGAAACCAAAATCTTTCAGAAATAGAAATGGCAAGAGGAGCTTCTGTTTGCACAGCAGGAGCTCTGCATTGGTTCACACCATCTGAGTCATATCCACAGTACAGACGTAACTGCATTGGGATGGGTACAAACCAATAGAACACGGAAGGACTATGCAGACTGCAACATGCCTACCCTAAAGAAGTTAAATCAACCCTCCTGCTGGCTTTCCAAGATGAGCAGAAGCTTTCAGCACATACTCAGGAAAAGGGACTGCTGGTCTTGATGCGAGTCAGATTTAGAAAATGCTCATGGCTGCCCAGGCTGAATGGCTGCCTATGATAAGAGCACACACTGAGGAACGTGTTAGACTGCTCTGTCAAGCACATTTAGCAATGTAGCCTTTAGCAATGCAGCCATCATGAAGAACAGGAGAGGTATGTTGTCTACAGTTTAAATCCTTGCACAAAATACAAATGTCTCCCATTATTAGTTCTTAGCAGATTCCCTTATTACTCACAGAACTTCAAACTGTGTTTAGAAGTCCTGGGTGACAGAAAATGGTTTGAAATCTTCTGAAACACACAATGATGCCATTTTTCTGCATTGGGAAATTGCGGCTTTTAGTTGCTTATATTTCCTTTTAAAATTCTCAAAGGCTGTCTCTGAGAGCAGGACAAAACCCAGAACAGCAGACACTGGGACTCCACCAAGCAGGAAAACAGCTTTAATATATCGTTATCAGCTAATCAGGGCTGCAGAAGCACTCAGATCAAGCAAAGCAGGATACCCATATGGATGCCAGCACGGGTCCACTAAATGTTACACGTTCTTTTCAAGTCATTAGCAGTTTGACAGAGTTCAAATGCAGCAGGACAGTTCAACTCTTCTGGCAACCTCTTTATTCTTTGCTTTTAGCTCCTAAGCCTTCTAGGACATTTATTAATGCATTTCAAAAAAGAGCAGTGCCCCCAGGGTTATTTATTGATTTAGATCAGCATGGCTCAGCCTACTACTTACGCTGTGTCTCTGTTGCTTAAGCAGCTTACTGATACCATCACCATGGCTCGGGCTCTGTCTGGCTTTCTCTTACAAAAGTTAAAGCAGTTACACAGCAACTAAGACAATAAACATGTGAATTATTTTTTAAATTAGTCTGACAAAGTGAGCCCTTGCATTTTCTGCCATCATAAACCTTCTCCATCTTTATCCCTCTGCCACTTGGTCAATAGCAAGCTATCCAAGACCATAAATCTCAGCTCCCAGCAAGCTGCCCTGGGTCACAGCTGTAGACGATGCTCCTGCGGGAGCCACGTGTCTGGGAGCAGTGTGACACAGCTGCACCCTTGAGGCTGCAACACCCAGCCAGCAGCACTGCAAGAGCCTCCCATGCAGGCAAGGCTCCAAACAGGTGAGCTGCAGGTATTTTTCCGCTCTGTCAGCATGCCTAGGAAACACCATAACCCTCTGTTGTGCCACACAGCACAGATTGCAAGGGGCAGAAGGACAGCCATTGCCATGGGTAGCAGAAATGCTGCTGGAAGGACAGCAGGGAATGTCATGTTGCTGCTTTTTCAGCTGCATAGAATCAGACACAGGTGAATGTGGCTTAGTCACTTTTGCCACTTGCCGCCCCCATTTTGCCCAGGGCAGGAAATAGTAAGAATTAGGCTTAAAACTCATTTATTTTAGCATAGTCAACATTCAGCCTCATCCTACCATCTTGCTGCTCTTTATAAGCACCGCGATCTTCCTTCCCAGACCATCTCTTGCCCTTTCCAATGTTTCTGTGCTTTTCTTCAGTTCATCACTTTGCTGTCACCCTCCCTTATCTCTTATCTCTATCTTTCCTTCACAGTACCTTTTTCCTGATCACTCTTAACCCAGTGCCCATCGTTTCCCAGATGCTGTGTGATGCTGAAGTGGAACAATCTGTTTAAAGAACACTATCCAGAAGGCTCGACTTCAGCTACATTCCTTCCAGTGTTTGCATCCACTGCTTATTCTAGCTCATAAAACGTTATTCACAGAAGACAGAACTGCACTTCAGTTCTCCAAGTCCAGGGAAGAGGGCTACCTTACCCCTGCACGTGAAAAGCTGTAGGTATGGACTTAATGATCCTGATGGGTCCCTTCCAATTCAGGACGTTTTGTGACCATACACTGCTTGCACTGAACATATTTCTTTCCGAAGAACAACACGAATGACTGCAAATACTGCACTAGAGTTTCTATCATTTTCATCAGCTGTATGTCTATCCAAACCAGACACCTCTCCATAGAGATAGCGTGACAGACCATGCTTAACTGGAGAGAACAGTTCTTGTATCAAAGGGAAGCACCACTTTTCAATCAATATGTCAGCGATTCCTACTGTCTAATGATTATAGCTTCCTCAAAACGCACAGTAAGGACCGCTAGCCCTTCATTTGCTTCCTCTTGGTTGATCCCTTTTCTCCGTGAGAAATTGATTTTCTCATCCACCTTTGAGATTCTCCTCTTTTTTTTTTTTTTTTTTTTAATACTAGGTTTGCATGTTGCACCAAAAAGGAGACGTCAAAATGTCAGGAAGTAGAAAGGGGTTAAATCTCTAAAACAAGACGTGAGGAGACGCACCTCAGTAGACTGAGAAGTTTTATATGCAATCTGAAATTCATCTGGCTTATCTCTGCAGGCACTGGTTGCCCCTTCGCTCATTCTACAAGTATAAAAAAAATCTTTTAGAAAGTATCCATCCCAATGTTCCATCTAACCAAGCGAGGTCTGCGCTTAACTCAAAGCTGAACTGAAGCAGATGAAAAGTGAGATTTCAAAAAGAGAACTAGAAAGTGAACATGAAAGTCACTGCGCAGCCTTCAGCAGGAATGCAGTCAGAGCCTTCCCTGACCTCATATTCTTTTGAAAAGCAGAACAGAAAAGGATCCGTGGAAAAGGCTGAATGGGGCACAGCAAGGAGGGGAGCTGTGCATAGGCAGCAGCCAGGTGCAGCCCCCAGCTCCCTGCAGCAGCTGTGACCAGGGGGCTCTGCCTGCAGCACCATGGCTTGCAGCAGGCATCTGAAGGAAATGGAGTTTACACAATCATGTGTATTTATATATGGTCAAAAGGTCTGTGTCACATCTGCTGACACTAGCAAGACTTCTGCGGCTTGGGCAGTGCTGGGCACTTATCTAGTGAAGTGGCCTTCAGACTCCATTTTGCTCTGTGCTCAGCGGTAGGAGATGGTTCCTCATCAACTGTGTGCTCTACATTGGCAAGGACCCCTCACTGACCTCTCCTCAGCATCAGAGACTGAGGAGTGGGATTTGTGAGCACCCACTGCAAACCCTTGAGTCTAAACCCTGAGTTCCATCCATCAGCCTTGTGGCTCAGAGCTGGTGAACAGTTTCCAGAAGTTTCTCCTCTGACTTCCAAACCTTCCTCATAAATGAAGGACTAGGGCATAACTCACACAGGCACACTCTACATGAGATCACAATATATGACAAAAGTGTCTCAAAACTCAACAGTTGGGAATATATTTTAACAGGCAGGAGGATGTCATGAGTAAAAATGATTGAACTGTAGGAAGAAATGGACACCCGTCTGCAAGATCCAAACCCCCCCCCAAACCCTCCTGAACTTCCAAATATTTTAATGGTAGTTTCTGAACAAACATTTGTTGGGTACATTAACTAAACACAACACTACCAAGAACCTAAAGCAGTTCACTATTTTCCCCACAGTCCAAGAAATAAAGAACAGAAAAAAGTAAAAACTAATTAAGCTTGATTTCAGAATTAGAATACATACATATTTTGATTTGCTGAGATAGAAAATATTGTTTTCCTTTTAACATAATAGAAACTCATTATGAATTAGAATTAAAGATATCCAGCTACGCAGAGCAGCCCATAGGAAGATTCAGAAGACTGATAATGAGCTGCTACACACTGCTGCTGTGTGACCCAAGGTTGACTCCAACTCCATGACTGAGATGCTTCTAGTGCATCATGCACACACCAAATTACTGGGTCCTGGCTGTATGTATGCAACATAACATGCATCTTTTTTTGTGCATTGGGAGATAAGGAAAAAGCTCCGTATATCAGAACGCAAGGGAAAAATGACCTTGGTAATGCTTATGGCTACCAAAAATTACCCTCACTGAAACCAATAACCACGAGGATAAGCACTTAAAAGCATCTAAGAGCAAATATCCCATAACTGAAGAATGGAAATGAACTGAAAACCTGTAGATGTCAAAAGGGCAAAAAAGAAATTGCTGTGTTTTAAGCACCAGTACAGAGCATGCAGCAAGCAATAGTCCTCAAGCCAAGAATCCATTGCACTGGAGAGACCAAAGACAGATAGCACAGCGGGTGATTGGTGTCAAATGAGGTACAAAGGCTGGAAAGACTGCATCTGCCTCCAGCACTATTTCGGAAAGCCACAGCAGCACTGCATGAACACTGCATAGAATGCTGCTGCTGCACCTTGTGCATCACACTTGTTTGTCTGCCTGCTGTTCCAGCCCTTAAACCTGCCCCAAACCTCAAATATAAGCAGCTCCACTGCTAACGCCTGAACCACTCATCTGCAGACCTGGTTTCATACAGTCTAAAATAAAATGGCTGTTATTAGGACAGGAAATAGCTAACATACGTATCTAGAAATTACAGTGCATATTTAACATGAAATGAAGCAAAGGAGCAAGAAGAAAAAAACAGTTTCCAAACAAAGCAACTCTACTAGCTTACTTGCACGGTAAAATGCGAACAACATCGTTCTGCTTGTAACTCTCAATGCAGACAGCACAATGATCAAAGTCTGGGTCTGTCTCCTAAAACAAACAGAATGAAAATTCAAGTCAAGAGCTTTGGCTGTGACAAAGGTAAAAGTAATTGTAATTAGTACAAGAACCATGCTGTGTCAGAGCAAATATTACCAACAAGACACAGAAATGATGGCAGGGTGGTTGCATTCCAACAGGCTCAGGAAAGAGAAGTATCTCATGCACACAAAACCATTCCCCTTCACTCGAAGCTGATAAGCGACCATATGAAACATCAGCTGTTTATAATATGCAGTTGAATTCTTGTGGTACAAATAGTAGGGATTTCCCTATAGGAATCACCTCAGCTTTGAGGTAGAAAAAAAAGGGTTGGTTTTTTTTTTTTAGGATAAGCTTTTTGGGAATTCTGCGTGCCAGCTAGCACACAAAACCACTCAGTCACAGCTGCCAGATGGAGCACAAGAAGTACTTGAGTGAGAAAAACTCCTTTGAAATGTGCAAACTTACAGCATACAGCAAGACCACGAGTTACACAAAACACTGTGCCATACGATAAGCAGTCTCCAACAAGGAGGGGAAGATTGGAATACCAGGAGAGAAAGGAAAAGCTGAAAAATAAACTGTTTCCTCTAACAAAAATAAAACACGATGCCCACGTTTATCATGTTGAAATATCATTATACCTTATCTCCCTTCTTTACTGTCCTGGTTGTCAGTTTACCAACAGCTTTCTTGGCAGCATCTCCAAGGCGACGCTAATGAAGTGACAAAGGAGAGAACACAAATTAGCTCTGATAATCAAGCTTCATTACTGCCTGTTACAATGACTTATGTGGGCTCAATACTGCCACTGCAATACACACTGACAGTGGGCCAACACTGCGATTAACAGCATAAACAGCAAAGCCCACAGTTAGAGATTTGTCAGGAAACAAAACAACAGCAGAGCACAGGAATGCACTCAGTGTGTGGGCATAAAGCTCACACACTGCACAGGGCTCCGCAGAAGTCACCCAACACGTGTGACAAGCTAACTCATCCCAGCCTGCAGTACAGGAGCTGAAGCAATGTGCCCCCCAGTGATTTCTGTCATCATCCTCTCCTACTGCTTTTTATTCAGCATGCTAGAACATACTCTGTTCTCTTAGGCTTGAATTTTTTCTGCCTCCCAAGCACAGACTGATCTTGTTCTGAGACATAACAGATCCTCAGCGTAACCTAGTTTATCCTGCCCTTACCCGAACCACTGCTACCACACAAAGCACAAGTTTGTGGGTCATGAAATCTGAAAGATCTGATTTAGACCAGAATATAGCCAAAACGAATGCTGGTTTCAATATTAACCTCACTCTGACAGCAAAGGCCAAGCTGTTTTTTGCTGTCTGCAAAATGACCACCTCTGGGTTCACGCTGCCCTCCTGTGCAACCATCACCAGCTGCTGGCCTGTGGGTCCCAGGCACTGAGCAGCACAAGGCTCGCACCTTCTCGTATCAGGAGACTGGGTTTACATTTACTGGAAGAAAGGAAGTTCCCATATTTTGTCTTTCACCCCTCTTGTACTGAATACTCTGCTTTTGAGAGACACCAATTCTAAGAACATGAAATGCACGACAGAATTCCCCACGCAGCTTGGATGGAACAACCGTGCATTTCTTGTGCCTACCTACCTCCTATACACTTGAAAAGCCAAGTTCTTCAACTACCTCGCCCCATGTAAGCACTTCCTTTCTTCCCATCTAAGCTAAGGCTGTTTTTATTGGAGAAACACAGAGGCCTCTGAAGGCCTTTACAGCACTGTGTACCGAATCGAGGACTGGCCAACTGCACCAACATTATTCTGGAATTACACAATTCAATTTTGGTTGTTGTCTCCACAGAAAAACAGCTCCTTCATTTCATGGGGTTTTTTAGGACACCGATGCGTGGGGTGTCTGGAGTTCCAACCGGAACAGAGGTGGGATTGGGAAGCTCTTTACCTCCTAAAGGAAGAAATCTCATCCTAACTTCAACACGTGAGAAACCAGTCAGTATAAGCAAATCAAAGCTGTGCATCCTGGAACAAGCATATTGGCTCCAGCACTGAAAGACACAACACCAAAGACTGCTGGAATGATTATCATGCACAGCCAAAGTGTGACTGCTAAGAGAGGAACAACGCTGAGAAGGCACGGCAGGGGCTTTCCGTGACCAGCACTACCCACCTGAGTCACTGGGGGTAGCACATATAATTAGCCATGCTGCCTGTGTTTGTACTACGTGAAGTCTTTGAAAATCTGCTCCAACCGAGAAAGGATCAATCTCAGCAAAACTCTTCCAAAACACATATTGTATTCTCACATGGAAGGAAATCTGCTAATGGCAACTTCCATTGCCATTCAAGAGATCCACCTTTTCCACCTTCTAATTTTAACAGGACGTTTTGAAATGCTAACCTTGGGGACACTGAGGATTTGCTGTTTGGTTAAGTTTTAAAGCAAGCATACGCTGCATGCCTATGCCCTAAAACGCACATCAACCTCAATGGAAAAAGGGCACCAGTACATGCAAAGGAGTTTCGTACCTCGGTGGAAACGCACAAGAGTAACCATGTGAAATACCCATATCTACTTGCACTATCTATAAAACACAGCATGGTTTTGATGGTTTTTAATTTATTATTTTTCTTAAACAGGTGCCTCCAGCCCCAAGCTATGATCTTGTTTTTCAGTTAAAACAAGTTATTTCCCCACGCAGCCTTCTCTCTGAGAGCTTTCAAAGCTCTTCAAAAACAAGCCGGAGCCGTCGCCACCTCCTCATCAAAGTTTAATAAGCTCAGCTTTTTAAACCACATCAAATTTTCATCAAGTTTCTCCTGAAAATCTAAAGAAAGAAGAAAGGTCACAAAAGCCCCCTCCCCACGGAGCAGCTGCTTTGAGATGTTTGGAAGAAGCCTCAGACCGCTCAGGGGATGCAGCAGGCACAATTCGGCACTCCACAGACACTCCTGGAGTCACAGTTCTATTTAAACTTCTACCACCCCAAGGGACCACACTAAGTACCAGCCACAGATCGGTCACTTCAGAATGACACCCCTAGGAAAATCTAACGGGACCGGCAGCATCAGATGCTATTTCCAGAAACTAAAAAGGAAATCCTTTGTTGCAGTTGAGGCTCTGTAAGTCTGCGTTTGTTTTAGGTTTGACAAAGCGCTGTCAAGAGCCAAAAGAGCTGCCCCACAGTTTGCCCTTAAAGGTCAGTCCTAAATCAGAGGAAGAGGGACAGCAGCTAGAGGTCAGCAGCTTTGTAAGGCATCCTTGACAGAGATGCACAGAGCCAAAGAGAGCAGTCACTTTTTTCCTCCTTTGCAATAAAAGCCAGGACACACTACTGAGACAGCAGGTCATTGAGTCCACGACAGTAAAACATTTACTTCTAAAGTTTAAGCCATATTTACACTGATGACTTCACTTATTCGAGACCTCTGGGCATGGGTGCATTTAATTCAGATCTAAGTTCTTACAATAACAGAGAAAAAGAATCAGAAAGGCACACTGGACAAAATATTACTTAGCATATATGACCAAGAGAATTAGGCAGTCCTTATCAAGGATCATCTCAAAGTCAGTGCAGAACACTAAGCAACTCTGTATCTTAGTTTTCTTACCCTATGTATGGGAACTGCTGAGTCACGGCCTGAACCTCTGATTAATCACCTGAGGTGAGCCTTGAGTCAGCCAGAGGAGCACAGCTGAAGGCAATTCACCTGTGCTGCCGGAAGGGGTGGAGCCAGGCTGCACCTCTCCTAGACCTATTTAAGAGCTGGCTACCACAGGGGAAGGATCTCTTCTGGAGATCCTCCTCTTTTGGTATCTTCTGGTGAGCTCAACCCAAGGGTAAGCTCTTCTACTTATTCTCTTTTTGTGATTGTTGTCTGCTTTGCCTTACTCTCTTGATTATATTGCAATTATAACATCTTGATATCTATTGATTATACACAATTATATTGTGATTATAACATCTTGGTTATACACCCTAATATTCATTAATTTACAGTTTGGGAACAACAACTGAACTACCTCACTTATTACTAAAGCTAGCCTTAATAACAGATGGAATGAATAACATTAGCTTTGAACTCCACCACACCATATAAGCATAAGCACAATTTTTCACTCTCCATTTCCAACGTCCATTCCAAGAAAGCAATTCTCCACAGAATACTGTACACAGCAACAACAGCTCCAGAACACGGACACGAAAAAACAAAATGCCCTTACCTGATTCCTGTCACGTGCACTCGTGTACCTGATCTTCTGGATGAAGTAAAATATTAACCACGCTGAAGAAATTATCATCAAAACAATGAAAGATATTGACACAAAGACTAGGGAGCCCCGACTGAAGTTCTTTAGAGGAACACGGGAACCCACTGCTATGGCCATCAGCACAGAGATGTTCTTTTCCAAGTAATTCAGGATCTCCTTTACTTTTGATTCTGTAATCATTACAGCAACAATGTCTCCAGTTCCTATAAAAAGAGAACAAAAATTAATTAACATTTAAAATCCACAGAGCATGATGCCAGTAAGATTTTCCATATGCAAAACCATTTGGTAAATGATTTTATCCAAGTCATGTATGGCATATACTGTGTGCTCAACTCAAGGCTCATCCTTCCAACCCAAGCTTTCCAGGCAGGGCCTCGACATGCCAACTGCTTGCAGCTGCACACGTCCTACCAGGTAACAGTGCTTCCCACACTACAACGACTGTGCACAGTCTGAACAGATCTTAAATCGTATACTTGGTCCAGATTGGAAGCTGTGATTACTTGAATAGGCAACTTAGAGAAAAAACACATTTGGAAGATGAGGGGTGTCAGTATACACAGAGCTGAGCCGGGGGAGTTCGGAAAGCGTGGTGATGAGGATATCACATGTACACAGACTGCCAAGGACCTACAGATCACAATTCCAAAGAAGCCAGAACTTCACCCCCACCACTTCCCATAGAAGCGGAAGTAGAACAAACAAGACTGGCTGGAAAGTGGAACAGAAATTAAAACTGAGCAGAAATATGAGAGCTGATTTTATCATCCAACCAGAGACATGCTTAATAAAGTAGCAAAGAGCTCCTGAGACAAAAAAAACTGGTGTGCCATTCTTCCTCATCCAGATCTGTACTGAAATCCCTTCTCAAGATCTATTTTCAAGATGCTGGTGAAGGCTGCTCATCTGCTCCCTCCATCTGTTTGCACCAAATCACATTCCCTAAAAGAGGAACAGTAGAATGTGGGTGATTTCAGCACTGCGTTCTGGCTTTGGAGCAGATTTGAGCTGGAGAACTTGGCGTGACAAGATCCTGTGTTAACAAAGGGGATTTCTTTTAAGTCCTTTCATCAGAACCCTATTTTTAAGAAGTTACTGTACCCAGAATATGAAGTAGAAGAATAAAAATAACAGAACCTTTGAAACTGAGGGCACAGTAAGTCAGGGTGACAAGTCCAAAACCACTCATTTCCCCAAAAGGGGGCTTTGCTCGAGCTGCAGAAGTTGTTTTAGTGTTACTCTGCTGCTCTTCCCATTCACAGAGCCAAATAGTGACTGTTACAGTCACTGTCCTCAGTTTTCAGAGAGCGCTTCCAGTATACGCCTTAGAGCTGCCAGAACGCTCCTGACCTGTCCAGCTGAGAAGTCCTTGCACTTAATGACAGGATAAAAATCTTCCTTTCCTGCAATTTCAAGGTACTGTACATGGATGCAGCACGCACTCCTGCAGCTCAGATGACGCAAGATCAACCCAGAGCTGATAACTGCCTGATGCCCTCCCCAGGCGTCACTTCATTTCCTCACATCTCCTTCTGATAGCAAAGGCAGAGGGATTGTTTTCCCCAGGGCATATGTTGTACTATGCTTCCCCAGGAGGTATTATTTGGCCCACGGCATCACGTTCCTATCCAAGTATCAGCCAGAAGCTCTCAGCACAGCATCCTGACACGATTTATACAGCTACCCATGAAGCAAAGCTGACTAAGATTTTCTGATACCAGTCCAGTTCCACCTAAATTAAAAGCTGAAGCCTCCACCTATTCCCTGCTGCCTGGAGAATGTGACAAAGCTGACAATCTGCCACATGTTTTCTATAAGGCCCAGCACAAAGGGAACCTCTGGCATCTTTGCAAAGCCATTTGCATTCCAAACAACTCAGCTGCAAACAGCCCAAGTGCTACTGCTGCCTCTGACCCTGTGAGAGCCAAGGAGAACAGCACAGAAGAAAAATAAATTGTGCCTGCTTAACATCCTGAAACTCAGTGGAAACTGGGACTTGGTTTATCCATATTCTTGTCAGGGGCATCACCCTAAATAATTATAGCAAGAGCTCCTTGCTTGAGAAGAATTGGGGGCAGGAGGAGGCACTGACTTATTTATTTTCAGCACCTTGAAATCTTGCATTTCTGAAACCTAAGCAGAAAAAAAAAATCCTCAGGTGAATACAGACTAACAGCACTTGAAGAAGTTAGAGTGTGGTCTTTATATGAATCTGCTGAAAACCAATGCTCTCCTGAGCAAAGAATGGCGCCCAACTAAAAGGAGCTGGAGCACTACAGTCAATGAACTACACAGCTAAGCAGGAAGAAGCTGGACGGACAGTACACCCCAGATAAATGTTGACACCTGCAAATACAAATCAGCTGCCATCATCCAATCCTAAACAGCTCTAACTTGCAATTTTACTATGTGCATACTTATTGGGATAGCTACACAACTCTATGTATGGAAAGGAAGTTGCAATTAATCATTAAGCCTGTGGAATACAACATCAAGACAGGAGATGAGAGAAGGATGCAGCAGGTGAGAAGATACTAGGAACAATGTAATGGGAACAAAGCAACAACCAGAAGTTTCCTGTAGACCCCTGTAGAGTTCTACAGAGATTACTTTGCTGGCTCACCACATCTCCTAGCACTTTCAGAAAGTCAACTGAAAGTTGTCTCAAAAGGAAGATTCCCAGTCTCACCACCAGCAAACAGTTGTCCTTGCCAATTTCTCTTTATGTTGATTCTTGACTGCCAGACACTTCTCTGAAGCTCCAAATGCAGACAGCTGTGGGAAGGACACCAAGCTGCAGACAGACATGGTTCAAAGAGTGGACTTCAGGCACCTTCCACCCACCTATCGCCCCTGGGAACAGCAGGCAGACAAAACATAACTACCAAGCAGCAGATATTTGCTTTTCTCTTGGGTGCCCAAATGGCCTAAGCAGCTGCTTGGTCAAAGCTGTGGGAGAAGGGGTGGTGACAATTCCTGAGCTGCTGCCAGCACTGCAGTGCTGCAAAGAACCTCCTTGCAGACAGGGAAAGCAAATTTAAGATCCCAGCTCAAGAACGGCACATGCAGGACCACCTGTAAAAGGCACTGAGTGGTTCTGATGGGATGAAAAAAGATCTGCAGAAAACTGAGAATTAACCCACTTGCACCAAAAAGGTGAGCACTTTTCTGAGGGCTGCTGTTTTCAGCTGAAGTCTTTGCAACTTCCTTAGCCTTTAACTGCACTTGCTGATGCATGTTGCAGACACAGCATGAAGCACAGACTGCACTCAGCTCACAGTTGCAAAAGAACGTTGTTCTCTCTTTAAGTAGCAAACAACATTTAATTGTAACTGAAGCACTGCACTCTATTCTGAAAAACCCAAACTCAACACACATCTATCTGACACATTTTGCAGATGTCAGTTACAAAGGCCTGCAAAATCCCCAACTTTCTAATAAAAGTAAAGAACAGTGCAGACAGTTGCTTTCTGGCTGGGTTCAGGGCGTGATTCGGACACTAAAAGCCAAATCACAATGACAGAGACACCATAATGATCACGTTAATTAGGAACTGCCTGTTTTCACAAACCATTAAAATTCAATAACCTCTTAAAGCGTTTCTGAACACGCATCAGAAATAAACACATGCACACTGTTCAGTGTGCAGGAAAGGGATCAATCAGAGCCAGATTTCTCAGATTAAAAAGACAGACCACCACAAACAGCAGTTACCCAGTAGGTCTGGTGGAGCACACCTGACCAAGTGATGACAGACCTCCAGTGGCCCTTCCAAGCCACGCTCAGTGATATTTTAGACATACTTGCACTAGAATAAAAACCAATCATACTTGTGAAGTCCACTGATCCACACTACCACCATGGTCTACGTTTTGGCTGCTACAAGCAGTGAGTTAATGAAGTCACTGTGAGTGAGTTCCAAGACTCCTGTGAAACAACCTTGCAGAGGCAAACACAAAACCAGAAACTTATAAATAAAGGAAGAATGTAACTGCTTCCCCTCCGCCCCCATTCCCCAGGAGGAAACCTCAAAGTAGTTTTTTGATTTGAAGGACGCTCACTCTTCTTCTATCCCCATGGAATAGAATACAGCTGTCAGAGAAGGTTATCTAAAAAATCCCATCTGCAAGAAAGATGACAACTGTGGAAATTAACACAACTCTGAGAACTCACCGGCCAACAATAATAGAATTTGGGGGCCCACCAAACATTAAAGGAGAAAACAGGAAACACAAAACAAGCACTGTTGTTATTAATGAAGCTCTGAGAGAGTGAGTGGGAATTTTTTGAATGTCCCTGAAGACATCTGCACTGAGATGGAGAACAGGGAAGGAGAGGACATTGCATTGAAGACAGCAAAGGACACGTGGAAATTGCAGCCCCCCAGCCACCAAATAAATAAAATAGAACAAATGAACACACCATCAGAAATAAATGAAAAGCAGGAACAAGGAATCCAACTACAAGTCAGAGGAAAAGCAATTAAAGAAAAGCAGAAAGTAATGACAAAGTTGACACAAAGGGATATGCTGATAGTCACAGAAAGGTCTTACTGCTCATTTAAGGGTGACACTTCCAAGCTCAGGCTTATATCTATGTTAGAAAATCAACCTCATCACAATGAAAATAACTCTACACCTGCACTGCTAGACAAGGTGGGCTCTGAGAGTGCACATCAGTTCCACAGTACTTACCAACAATGGGGAACACACAAATTCTTCAGGTATTTTAGAATTTTAGCCCGATACAAACCAGAAATTCATTGTAAGAATGAAGTCTTATATTCTAAAACAGTCTTTGTAAAAGCAGACAGCAAAAAGAAGAGTCTTGGCATATGGACAGAGTGATCAACACAGGTCGAGCTGCACAGGTTTTTATTTTGATCTAATCAGAAAGGAAGAGCACATCCAGAGCAACAGCACCACTGCAATGGTAATATGTTGTCTGAGATGGCCCAAATCAAATACTTCTGAAAGCAGAAACAAAACCATAGTATTAGTCAATTCTCAGTTCTAAACAAGGCAAGAACTTAACGCCAACGGGCATCCATTTTAAAATGAGACCGAACAGCATTTCAAAGCATTTTTCTTCCTGTTGTCTTTATAACACTGTAAGCATTGAATTCTTGACTACATATGTAAACATTTACTGCGGGATATCTGATTTACACAGTGTCAGACACCAGAACAGATGTTCCAAC